GGGCTCCAGGCGGGGGTTCTGGCCCGCCCGGGGTCACGGTCCCGACCCCGTCGAGAGCTAGGAGGGGTCAAGGTTCCGGGCAGCGTCCGGCGTCTGAGTCCCGGTGGGCCGGCCTGAGTCTCAGGGTCTGGCCTCGCTCAGGCTTGGGCCTCGGGTTCAGCCCCAGAGCAGGGTTCAAACCGCCACCTGGGACATGCCGAAGTCCCAGGGGTTGGCCGGGGTGGAAGATGGGGAGGGTTCCCTGTTGGGCAACGGGCTTTGAGTACCACGTGGGGGCGCTCAAAGGGGCTTTGGGCCACCCTCCTCTGTGGGTCAAAGGTCATCGCACCGGCAGGGGAGAACTTCCTCCTCCTTGGCTCTCCCCGTTTACTTCCTGATAACCTGATAGAAGTCCCCCGCGGGCGGAGGGGGAAGGGAGGCGCAGCAACTTTAGGCAACTTCCCGTAGGTGCGCGCAGGTTGGGGGGACGGGCGGAGTGCCCCGGGAGGCGGAGGGCTCTGCGGCAGCAGGAGTGAAGAGTGGTGTGCAGGCGGGGTGCTGGGCGGTGGAGGCGCGCCTGCCAGGGTGGCCGGGATTGAGCCTGCTGGGGCAGGAGGGACGCGGTGTGTCAGGTGCGAAAGGCCCTGATGTGTTTTCTTCGCAAGAGTCTCTGCCAGTGTGCATGTGTGGGGCACGGTGGAAGTGTGAGAGTGTGTGTGATCACAAGCCTTGAGTGTGAGTTTGTTTACGGGTGTGCACTTGGGGAGGAGTGTGTAAAGACAAGTGCGAGCATGAGTGAGGACTGGAGTTGAGTGAGGACTGGAGTTGGGGAAGGGCCATGTGTGAGAGTCCCTGGGAGTGTGTGTGTGAGCATGCGGGAACACCTGGGCACCCAGGTGAGTGGGAATGTGTGTGTGACTGTGTCAGCTGCCCGCAGTGTGCGCTTTTGAATAGAGGACCCCAGGTAAGGGGACCATGGAGGCACCCCCAACATCTGAAGAAAATTGGGAGGGATCCTGCTTCTGGTGGGGGGTTCCAGCTGGGGCTGAAGGTAGCCAGGAAGCCAAGTTTACCCTGCTATCCTGGGTGGGAGTAGGGGATTTCAAGCACCCTCCCCAGTGGGAGACCTGATGTCAGTTACTGGCCCTGGAGGCTCTGGAGACTCTGTTCCCATGGCAACAGCTGGGGGCCCTCCTCAGGGCAGCCATTCCTTGGACTCTGTCCCCTCTCCCCCCTCGCTGAGCCTGGTAGCCTGGCCCTGGGCCCGTGGTTGGGCAACCCTGTGGCAGGGTGTCTTTCTTCCCCATCCCCCATCCAAATGCCTCCCTGGGACATGACGGGTATCTCTCTGCAGGTGACGAGCGCCATGTCCAGCCAGGTGGTGGGCATTGAGCCTCTCTACATCAAGGCGGAGCCAGCCAGCCCTGACAGCCCAAAGGGCTCCTCGGAGACCGAGCCTGAGCCCCCAGTGGCCCTGGCCTCTGGTCCAGCTCCCACCCGCTGCCTCCCAGGCCACAAGGAGGAGGAGGATGGGGAGGGGGCTGGGCCTGGCGAGCAGGGTGGTGGGAAGCTGGTCCTCAGCTCCCTGCCCAAGCGCCTGTGCCTGGTCTGTGGGGATGTGGCCTCCGGCTACCACTATGGTGTGGCATCCTGTGAGGCCTGCAAAGCCTTCTTCAAAAGGACCATCCAGGGTGAGCCCCCCCATCCCTGTGCCCTCTGCCCTATACCCTCTGGGCCTCATACCACTCACTGGGTGCACTGCTGGGTGCAGAAACCCCCAGTTTGCCATGGTACCGGCTGAGGCAGTCTAGTGTTCCCGGGCCCTCCTACCTCCCAGGAACACCCATTCCCTGAAAAGTTCAATAAAGCCCACCAGTATTTGTCTATGGATTGGATGGAGGGTTGGGGGGTATGACAGGAGTCAAGGATGCCTCCTAGGTCTCTGGGTCTGAAAATCTCAAGGCAGGCTCTGCCTTTTCCTCAACTTGGTTCTTGCTTCTGGCAGCTGCCAACCTCTCGCCAGCATAGAACATGCCCTCTTTTTTCTTCATTTCCCCAAAGCAGCACCAACACAAGGCAGATTTTTATGGGTGACTGGGGGGGACTACAGCATATGTCCACTTCCAACTTGAAAAAGACTGTTAGGCATCCCTGTTCTTCAAAGTCACTGAATTTTTCCTGCTTAGGAAAACATATCAAAATACGAGCGTGTGGGCAAGATGCTGATGTAATCATTACTTGGAATGTGCCTGTTATTTATGTGTTTACTTAAACTGTTGGTGACTTTGGGACATGTATTTTTTTAAACATTTCCTGAGTGCTTACCTTGTGCCAGGCACCGTGCCCTTTCACTTTTAGGATTTCAGCCTCCATGGGAACCCTGTAAGGTGACAGCACTATTGTCATCGTATTTTACAGAACGGGGAAACTGAGGCTCAGAGAGATTCTTTTTTGAGAGAGAGGAGGAGGGGACTTTGTTCAAGTCACATAGGTAGAAAATGGCAGAACCAGGATTTGAACTTGGGTTGATTCAAGTCCAGAGCTGAGCTCTTCAGCAGCAGACTGCTGCCTGTTTATTACTAATAACTGAACTTTGGACTGACGCCTCACGACTGATTGTGACATTCCAGCAAGTTTTGACCTGGCCCAGATCCACTGCTCTAAAACCTTCTGTGCTCCCTTCTGGCTCTGAAGACCAAGGAGCCAACAGACCAGCTCCGGGTGTTTCCTACTCACCCTGGGACCCTTTGCTCTCTTTTCATTCAGTTGACCAATACTTACTGGATCCCACCCACACATAGTAGCGAACATTTATTGAGCACTTAGGTGCTGTGCACCATGCTACATGTTCTACCCTTTAATTCTCACAGCCCATCTTCGTAATAAGTTGGGGAAATTGCGGGCTTAGGTATAAAACCTGCCCAAGGTCACACAGGTGGTCAGTGGTAGTGTCAGGATGGACCCCAAGCAGCCTCGAGAGCCCTCCTTTACAAACTACTGTCCTGGCATGGGGATATAGCTGGGACCAAGGCCGGACTGGCCCTGCCCTCAAGCAGTTTATAGTCTAGCAGAGAGGAGACATACATAGGAAACAATGAATTTTACAAATTGCTGTATTACAGCTGAGGTGAGTCCTGGAGGGAGATGTGCAGGATGTGTACCAAGGAACCTGGCTGGGTCCAGGGCTCTGGAGGGCTTCCTTGAGGTGTCTTGAACAGAGCATGGAAGCCCTAGTATGGTATAGGAGAAAGCACACTGTAAGGAGAAATGTGCCACCGACCTGTGGACTGCTGTACCATTTGGTCCCTGTGATCACAGCTGGGAGGGCCACCAGTAATTACGAATCCCTAGGATGGGCCAGGGGACATTGGTGGTTCAGTGGTAGAATTCTCGCCTTCCATGCAGGAGACCTGGATTCAGGTCCCAGCCTGTGAACCGCACACGCAGCCACCACTCGTCTGTCAGTGGAGGTTTACATGTTGCTATGATACTGAACAAGTTTCAGGCGTGCTTCCAGACTAAGAGAGACTAGGAAGAAATGTTTGGTGATCTACTTCCAAAAAATGAGCCAGTGAAAACCCTATGGATCTCAATGGTTTGGTCCGCAGCTGATCACGGGGATGGCGCATAACCAGGCAGCATTTTGTTCCATTAAGCAAGGGGTTGCCATGAGGTGGAGGCTGACTTCACGGCAGCTAACAACAGTGACAACTATGGGCCAAGCCCTGTTCCTAGCACTGGGGACCATTCTGGCCCTCATGGAGCTGACACTCAAGTGGGGGGACAGATAATAAAGACAGATGAGCACAATATGTAGCATATTAGTTGGTGCAAAGAGCTGAAGAGAAAGTATAACACTGGGTAAAGAGGACAGGAGGTGTCTGCAGAGGGAGGTTTGCCATTCTCGCAGGGTGGCCAGGGAAGGCCTCCCGAGGGGACAACTGAGAAAAGACCTGAAGGACGCAAGAAGCGTGTGTGGCTATCGAGAGCCACTCAGGCACAGGGGCCAGGATAGCCCAGGGCAGGGCCTGTGTGAGGAGCACCCAGGAAGCCAGTGGATCCGGAGCAAGTGCACATGGGGACATGAGGTCAGAAAGGTGACGGGGAGAGGGGGTAGGCCTTGCAGGCCATTGGGTTCACTTTGGCTTTTACTCCAAGAAGGGAAATCATTGGACAGTGCAGAGGAGGGACAGGATCTGACTTGGGGTTGATAGGCGCCCCTGGCTGCTGTGCTGACAGCAGGCTGAAGGAGGCACAGCTACCAAGGTGGTGAGGGGACAGTGCCTCAGGTCAGGTGGAAGCAGTGGACAGGCAGGAGGGGTCAGATCCTGGACATACTTGGTGAAGCCCACCAGGACTGGTGGATGGCTTGGCTGTGGGTGTGACAGGTATGGAGGATGCCTCTTCAGTTTCTGCTTGAGCAACTAGACAAATGGAGTTGCGGGCTGTAGGGGGCGGATCAGGAGTTCCACTTTGGTCGTATTGAGATGGTTTCTAGACACACACCATGTTGAGGAGGCGGTTGGATATGAGTCTAGAGTTCAGGGCAGGTCTAGACTAGAGACTGAAATTTGAAAGCCCCCATGACTTTCAATTATGGGAGTGAGTGGAGAAGTCCAAGGGCAGAGTCCTGGGGTTTCCAGTGGAAGGAGGTCAGGATGTGCACAGAGACCACAAAGTGGCCAGTCAGGCAGGAGGAAGACCAGGAGAGTGTGGTGTTCTAGAAGCAAAAGAACGTGTTAAAGTGCTTCTAGGAGCCGGAAGTGATCAACGGTGGTAGTGCCTTTTAGGCCAAGATGAGGACTGAGACATGACCACTGGATTTAGCAAGGGGGAGGTCACTGGGGCCTTGATAGCAGATGAGGGCCAAATGGCCTGGGGGCAGAGGTGCAGACTGACTCCCTGGGCCCCAGCCATCCCCTTCCCACACAGAGGCCCCAGCCCAGCGGGTTCCCGCCCCTCACGGAGCTCCTGCTCTCCCTTTCCTCCCCACACCCCCAGACCTGTGCTTGACCGGGGCCAGTCAGGGCTCTCCTGTCAGCTGGGCCCCTTCCGGGCCCTGGGAGGCGGCCACTGGAGCCCTGCCTCTTCCTGGCAGGGAGCATCGAGTACAGCTGTCCGGCCTCCAATGAGTGCGAGATCACCAAGCGGAGACGCAAGGCTTGCCAGGCCTGCCGCTTCACCAAGTGCCTGCGGGTGGGCATGCTCAAGGAGGGTGAGCACCGGGCAGGGGCCTGGGGGAGGCTGGAGGGAGCTGGGTGCACAAGGTGGACAAGGACTGTGGGGGAGGGCTTTGCAGGGCGACTCCACGGACATAGTCCCATCTTATAATTCAAGGGGTGCGTCTGGACCGTGTCCGGGGTGGACGACAGAAGTACAAGCGGCGACCAGAAGTGGACCCCCTGCCCTTCCCAGGCCCTTTCCCTGCCGGCCCCCTGGCAGTAGCTGGAGGTCCCCGGAAGACAGGTGAGAGCACCATGGATACCTGGACCTCCAGGGCTGGGGTGGGGCTGGGACACAAGAAGTCTCTGTGGCATCATTCACCCCGTTTATTCATTTACTCATCTAATAAATATTTATGAAAATGCCGTTCCTGTGTCAGTCACAGGAGAACTGGGGACAGGAAAGATTTCCTAACACTCAGAGCCCAGCTTTCCCCAGGAGGTAGTGACAGCCTTTCCCGGGAGGGCGGTGCCTGAGCCCGGCTGGTCAGTGGCTATCAAGGAAGGCCACAGGGGGACTGACTCTGGGAAGATGCTTGATCCTGAAGGACCTGTGAGGCCTGGTAAATTCGAGTGCCACTGAGTAGTCCCTGTCTCTGCAGCCCCAGTGAATGCACTGGTGTCTCACTTGTTGGTGGTCGAGCCTGAGAAGCTGTACGCCATGCCCGACCCGGCAGGCCCCGATGGACACCTCCCAGCAGTGGCTACCCTCTGTGACCTCTTTGACCGAGAGATTGTGGTCACCATCAGCTGGGCCAAGAGCATCCCAGGTACAGGGCCTGGTGGTCTGGGGCATCCTGGGTCGGCCAGGCCACACCTGGCTCCGCTCACTTGCTCAGCGAGGCTGGCTCCCCTGCCCTCCAGGCTTCTCGTCGCTGTCGCTGTCTGACCAGATGTCAGTGCTGCAGAGCGTATGGATGGAGGTGCTGGTGCTGGGTGTGGCCCAGCGCTCGCTGCCACTGCAGGATGAGCTGGCCTTTGCAGAGGACCTGGTCCTGGATGAAGAGGGGGCACGAGCAGCCGGCCTAGGGGAGCTGGGCGCCGCCCTGCTGCAGCTGGTGCGGCGACTACAGGCCCTGCGGCTGGAGCGTGAGGAGTATGTCCTGCTGAAGGCCCTGGCCCTTGCCAACTCGGGTGAGGCTGGGGTGGGCACTGCTGGGCCTCTCCACCCTTTAGCGTTGTGATGGCACACGGTCCCATTTTGCAGATAAGGAAAACCAGGGCTCAGGGAAAAACCGTGACTTCTGAAGGTCACATAGCAAGCCAAGAACAGGGCCAGGAACTGTACACCTTATTTTGAGCCCTAGAGCTGTGTTCAGAGAGAAGGGGAGGGAGGGTAGGTGGGGAGGACAAGAGGCAGCCGTAGTTGAGAGGGAAGGGGTGGGCCCCTGGCTCATGGCAGCAGCCTCTACCCCAAGCAGATGGGGGCTCTGTCCTTTCCAGAGATGGCCATGGACAACAGTTCGTCCCTCTTCCTGCAGACTCTGTGCACATCGAGGATGCTGAGGCTGTGGAGCAACTGCGAGAAGCCCTGCACGAGGCCCTGCTGGAGTATGAAGCCGGCCGGGCAGGCCCCGGAGGGGGTGCTGAGCGGCGGCGGGCAGGCAGGCTGCTGCTCACACTACCACTCCTTCGCCAGACAGCGGGCAAGGTGCTGGCCCATTTCTATGGGGTGAAGCTGGAGGGCAAGGTGCCCATGCACAAGCTGTTCTTGGAGATGCTCGAGGCTATGATGGACTGAGGCAGGGGGTGGGCACTGGTGGGGGTGCTGGCAGGACCTGCCAGCATGGGGTCAGCCCCAAGGGGGCAGAGCTGGGGTCTGGGCAGTGCCACAGCCTGCTGGCAGGGCCAGGGCAATGCCATCAGCCCCTGGGAGCAGGCCCCACGCCGTCCCCTCCCCAGGGGGGTGTCGGAAGCTGGGAACATGTGTGCCCGTGTTCTGGGCAGTGCTGCCCCTTGCAAGCCATAATGTGCCCCCGGAGAGTAGGGGGCCTTGCGGAAGCCATAGGGGGCTGCAGGGGGTGTGTGGGGGGCAGAAGCCTGATCTCAGGGAGGGAAGGGGGTGGAGGCTACAGTCTCCCAGTGGGTGATGCTTTTGCTGCTGCTTAATCCAACCCCCTCTCCAGAGCAGAGGAGGACTTGGAAAGCAAAGGCCCTGCCCCCCTTGCTCCTCTCCTCATCATTTGCATTGGGCATTAGTGCCCCCCCACCCCGAAGCAATAACTCCAAGCAGGCTCCAACCCCTGGACCCCCCGGGGTGGCCAGAGCCCCCCATCAGCTCCCACCCGGCCTCCTCAGGGGGTAGGGAGAGCACTGCCTCTATGCCCTGCAGAGCAATAACACTATATTTATTTTTGGGTTTGGCCAGGGAGGCGCAGGGACATGGGGCAAGCCAGGGCCCAGAGCCTTTGGCTGTACAGAGACTCTATTTTAATGTATATTTGCTGCAAAAAGAAACCGCTTTTGGTTTTGAAACTTTAATGAGAAAAAAAAATATATACTATCGAGCTCAAGAACACTCTGTTCGGTGTGTCACTGGGTCGAGGGTTGACAATGCTCACGACAAAGCCCGCAAACAGAATGTACAAAAACAAAGATACACACGGTTCCAGAATGAAAAAGGGGTGCCTGCCAAGGTTAAGTCTCGGTCTCCTCATCGTTCAGCAGCATGTTGGGGATCCCGCGGCTGATGGGGAAGAGACGTCCGGACTCTGGGCATTGCAGGGTGCCCTCCAACACGTCCACCTGCGGGGAGGGCAGACAGAGCTGAGCACCGGTGGCCGCGGGCGGCGTAGCCTGGGAAGCAGGTGGTGCGCCGGGTCTCACCTCCAGCAGCACGTGGTGCATCTTCCTCAAAAACTGCTCATCGCGCTCGTACCCCTCAGTCGGCCCTTTGGGGACCTCGACCAGATGCAACTGCGGGCAAGAGGCCTAAGTCATATCTGGGCATCCCCGACCCTTCCCCTCGGGCCGGATCTTGGTCCCAGGGGGAGCGGTGAGACCACCGCCGGGGTGTGCACCGGCGAGGGGCGAGTCCTTACGGTATCTGCCGCCTCCAGAAGCGCCGCCCACTCCACCTTGGGTATCATCCTTGCCACGAACTCGGGGTTGAACTCCACAGGGTTGATGCGGACCTCGGTGGCCTGCAGGGCGGAGCGGTGTTAGGCAGGGCGGGACGCCGGCTCCCCCATAGCGCCAGGGAGTGGGGTAGGAGCGACCCGGCAGGTACCTGGAGCCGCAGGGGGAAGCCGCGGGGCCCCACCCCCCGCACATGCGAGGTCAGCAAGTTGTGGGTAAGCAGCTTCATGTCGCTACGACGCAATCAGGCCAGACCGGAGCCGGAAAAAGGCCGGCATCCGCTACGTCACTTCCGGGGCTGCTCCACTCTATCCCATTGGACGGCCGGGAGGACCGGAAGTGGCGAACGTGCGGGAGCTGCTCGCGCTGCCTGAGAGAGCTGTGGGCCGTGAAAGACTTAGTCGGATCACACGCCTCCACGGGACACTGCTGCGGCGCATGCCCAGTGGTTTTGGCCGGGCTCAGCCTCCCCCGGTTCCTGGAGTGCAAGTCACTTGTAAAACAGCTGCAGTGCAGGGGACCTTGTTTAATGCAAATGAACGTGCTTTTGCCTCTCATAAAGGCGCCTCACCACCCTCTGCCGCCCTCGGTGATTGACAGAAACACTGCCCCAACCAGTAAACTAAGCCCATCCAAACGGCGCGGGACCTTTCCTTTTATGCAAATAGGCTGCGGGACTGCCGGAAGCTCCGCCCCGTTTCTAATTGCGTCGTGGTCCCGCCCTGCATGCAAATAAGCCGAGTCCCTGTACAGCCCTGAGGCCCCCCGGCGGGCGGGCGGTAGTGGGAGGGCCGTGCGAGCCGAGGCCCCGCCTTCCTCAGGCTCTGGGATTCGCTCTCTGCTGACCCCGCCTCCTGCGGGGGCTGGCCCAGGAGACCTGGCGGTTGCGGGCGCTCAGCCTGGCATGGGGCTGGCAGGGTTGCGCGTTCTCTGTCGCCCAGCGGGCTTGGTTCTCAGTGGGGCGGCAGCCGTCGAGTCGGCAGCAGCGGCAGCGGTGGGAGCAGGACGGCGACTGGGAGGAGGAGGAGGGTGGACGCTTGGCGGGACCCGCAGTTTCAGTAGAGCCGCCGCAGCCATGGCCCCGATCAAGGTGACCGCCAGCCCGACCGGGCCCGACCCCGTCTCTCCCCAAGACCGCCCCCCCCGTCCCCCTTGTCTGGGGATGTCACCCTCTCTCCTGCCTTTCGGAGCCCTCCCGCTGCCCTAGAGGCCCCTCCCGCCGTGGTCCCCTCATGCTTCAGCAAGATCGCCTTAACTGCCCCACTTCCCTTTCTCGTCACAGTTTGGAGCTTCGTGCCCATCTCCTGGAACAGCCCCTGAGTCTAGAGCCGTCTCTTCGTTCCCCCGCCTTCTGGGACCATCTCCTTCGCCCCAGCGCTCCCTCCCCACCCTCCGCATGTTCCCCGCCATAACCTGCCCTACGCTTTTGTTACATTTCAAGGCATCGCTCTTCACCAACCCCGCCCCTCCAAGTCTTAAACAATTGTTGACTCTCAGAGCCCGTATTTTGTCTCGCTCATTCCACTCCCGCGACATTTTCCCCTCCACCCAAGGCGAATTTCCACCTTTCTGCTCAGTTTTTCACTCTTCCTATCTTCTGAAACCACCCCCAGCTCCTTCTCCCCTTTCCCTCCTACACCCTCTGAGACCGGCTCTGCCTCTACTTCATCCCACCTCCAACCTCTGGGCTCCTTAGAGACCCGCTTTTGTCTTTGCCTCTCCCAGTCACATGCAGCCCCTTCAAGATTTCTTCTTTTATTCTACATCTCTACATCGAGCCCTCCACCCCCCATCTGCTGTTGCCCCTCTCCTTCTTGAGGGGGTGCGCTCCAGCCTGGCCAGAATCCTTTCCTTCCCTGTTGTCAGGGCCTCTTGTCACACCTCCTCGCCTGTCCATTTTTCCTACTCATTTCCCGTAACCCAGACAGCTCGTTTACTCAACCGCTTGTGACACCCGGAAGGCCGTCTCTCCCTTTCTCTGGTGTCACCAACAGGCCCTAAGGAAGGGCAGGCAGCCCCGGGCCAGGAGAATGTGGGGTGGCCAGGGCGGGAGCTGGAGGGGAGGGTGACAGGGAGGGACCTCTAGAAACTGACAGGACTGGACTTTCCAGTCTCTCCACCAGGCTCAGTCACCAGGCCATCAAGTCCCTTCTGGCCCTGGTCTGCTGCCCCTCCCTTGGCCTTTGCCTCCCCACTCCTAACCCTGGAGCCCTTCCCTCTAGGTGGGAGATACCCTGCCGTCCGTGGTGGTATTCGAAGGGGAGCCTGGGAACAAGGTGAACCTGGCAGAGCTGTATAAGGGCAAGAAGGGTGTACTGTTTGGAGTTCCTGGAGCCTTTACTCCAGGCTGTTCAAAGGTGAGGCCCTGCCCTCCTGGGGATCAGGAATTTAGGTTTTGTACCTGTTTTTGTTGCTCTTAAGTCAGTGTGTCCTTCTAAAGCCCTGAGGCAGCTTGCAACAAAAGTATGCAGGCAATACAACCGTTAAAGTACATTAGCTGCAGTTAAAGCATATTAGGGCTTAGAAAGTAAGTAGTAAAGAAGTAAAGATAACAGTACCAGGAATGTAGGAACAAGGATTATTGCAGTTAAATTCAACACCCCTTGTTGACCTTGCTGGCAGGCACTGTGGAAGGCACTTGGGACTCCGTACATAACAGTCTTGCCAGTGGGACATTTACAGTCTTGACCACGGAGTGTAGTTTGGATCTGAGCTTCCTAGTGGCCAAGGCAAAAAGGAAATAGAATGGTTTTACACAATTCTCTTTAATCAAAGGAGTTGAAGGAAGGAAGTGTGAGAGGCTGCAGACAAGGGGAGGGCCAAGGAGCAGGGGCAATCATCCCTTTGTTGACCCTTCGTTTTCCCTCCCCAGACCCACCTGCCAGGGTTTGTGGAGCAGGCTGGGGCTCTGAAGGCCAAGGGAGCCCAGGTGGTGGCATGTCTGAGTGTCAATGATGTCTTTGTGACTGGTGAATGGGGGAAGGCCTACCACGCGGAAGGCAAGGTGAGGTATGGGTCCTGCCAGGGTCATGGGCCAGGCAGGAGATTTTCCTGGTGACCTTTGCTTTCTTTCTCCTCAGGTTCGGCTCCTGGCTGACCCCACCGGGGCCTTTGGGAAGGTGAGTGTGTCCCCCCTTCACCCTGTGGGGTGATTTCCATGCCAGGCCTTGGGAGCAGGAACTTAGAGGGAGGGTGGGCCCTTTCTGGGAATTCCTGACCCTTTTCTCTGTCCTCCCCTCCAGGAGACTGATTTGTTATTAGATGATTCATTGGTGCCACTCTTTGGGAATCGACGGCTCAAGAGGTAAAAGTGGGAGGGTCTCTGTTGGGTTCCCTGGGGACCTGGTTCCTTCCACCCCTCCTCTGTCCATTCCCAGCCTCCAAGCTCAGGCTGACCCAACTAGCCTGGCCCCTCTTCCCGGCAGGTTCTCCATGGTAATAGAGGACGGCGTGGTGAAGGCCCTGAATGTGGAGCCGGACGGCACAGGCCTCACCTGCAGCCTGGCCTCCAACATCCTCTCACAGCTCTGAGGCACTGGACCCAGATACATTACCTCTACCCTGTCCTTGTCTTACCTGCTCAGCCCTGTGTAGTAGGCCCCGGCTCACCCTCAGCGGGGTCACTCAATTGGAACCTTGGCCATATTTCTGCAATAAACACTTGTGGTTCACGTCCACCTCCTTGTTTCTGAATCACTGCTTTGTTGGGGACCAGGCCTCCTGACACAGCCAGAATGAACTGAGAGCCATGAGGGTAGTGGACAGGGGCCAGAGGGGATAAGTATAGGGAACCCAGATTTGAATAAGGGGTAGTCAGGGAAGGTCTCTTGAAGGGGGTGTTATGAAGCATCAGTCTGGAAGCTTAGGAGGAGCTGGTGGCCTGAAGAGCAAGAGAAGGAGCCTTCTGAGCAGAGGGAATGCAGGGAGGGGCCCTGAGGCTGACAAAGGCTCCGGGCATACCCACGACCTGCGTGTGATCTCAGGTGCTGGCTGATCTCACTGAGGCCCACGAACTCCAGGGTCAGAACCTCACCTGTAGGGCCCCCCTCTTGGGCAGAGCCCCGTCTCCCATCCTTTCAGACTGTTGAACCCCTCCCTGGAACATTCTCATTCCAGAGGGGGGGCCCTGGCACCTGGGGACCATCTGAGTGGCAGAAAGGACTTCAGTGGAGGCAGGGCCAGTTCAGTCCAGGAGGGCTCCCTGGGAGAGGAATCTGTGTACGTAGGTGAGCTGTGGAGGAGAGAAGATGCCAGTGGTGGGTGCAGCGTGAGAGGCTGGAGGCTATCACTGTCCGCAGGCCCTCCTCGTGGGCCTCTGGCTCTTGGCCCTTGGAGGCCGTGTGCATGCAGCAGGTCCTGGCCAGGCGTGCACAGCCTAAGGGGCAGACTCCGTAATGGCGGCAATGTTTACTGGTGCTAGGCATGGTGCTAAGTGCTTTAGGTGTAGCTACTCAGTCCTCACAACAAACCCGTTGTACAGAGAGGTTAAGGAAACAGGCCAGGCTCCTGCACCACGAGCAGGTGGAGTGAGGATTTGAGCAGTGCTGCCCTTTGTGCTCCATGGGCCCTTCCCTGCCTGGGGGTCTCCAGGCCTCAGCCCCCAGAACTGGCTGGGGCTGACTGAGGTCACTGAGATTCAAAAGGTTAGGAAAGCCCTCTTGAGGAAAGGACTCTGAGGTAGTGGGAACAGGCAGAAAGAGGTATGGAGGCGTGGGCCAACCCGAGGCCGCTGGAGCTCGTGGGGCAGCTGGAATAAAGATGCTGGGAGGTCGGGGGCCCTTTAAGCCCGGTAGGCAGCTTGCGTTTGATCCTGTGGGCACCTCGGGCTATTGAAGGGCTTTAAGCAGGGCAGTGACAGGTCAGATTGATACTTGAGCCACCATGTGAGATGGAATTGGAGTGGGGCCACTGGGAGGTGTGGAGGAGGCATGCGGTGGACCGCACCGGGAAGGGGCCGTGAACACACGTTCAGAAATGGCAGCCGGGAGTTGGAGACCTGTTGGGTATGGGGAGCAAAGGTGAGTCCATGGGGCCACCGGGTGGAGGCTCAAGGGGCTGGGTGGTTGGGTGATGTCCTCATGGATGGGGCACCCAGGAGAAGGATGGACTCAGCCTGCCTGAGACTTCCCACCGCTTACGTTTTCCCCCCACCACCCAGTGGTTAAGCGCTTAGCTGCTAACCAAAAGGTTGGCAGTTTGAATCCACAAGCAGCTCCTTGGAAACTCTATGGGGCAGTTCTACTCTGTCCTATAGGGTCACTATGAATCGGAATCGACTCGACAGGAAAGTGTTTGGTTTTTGGTTTTGTTCTCTCCCATAGCTTGCTGTCTCTGTGGGGTCCTGAAGTCTCTCCAGCTTTCCAAGTCTCTGTAACCCACCCACTTCTCTTCCTCCCCTGCCGAACCTTGGGTCCTTCCTGGTGTGGATGGTGGAAAAGCCCTTTCATTCCTGGACACCATCTCTCAGTCTTTTCAATAACCCTAAGGCAGACGTTGTCCCCCTCATTGTGCAAATGAGGAAACTGAGGCATAGCGCTTTCCCCAAGGTCTACACCAGCCAATGGGGTTAGGAGCTTCGGCCTTGAGCCCCTCTGAGAGCTCCAGGTGGAGGGATCTCCCTGAGTCAGTACCAGCAGGGTCTGCATCAGTGAAGTATGGGTCAGACGACCTGCCCCTCGCTGTGCATCCTTGCCCTCTTCTGTGCAGCCTCAGTCCTGCCCAGGGAGCCCCGCCATCACAGCAAGCCCAGTCTGTGTCTCTGCCACTCAGCTGCCCATTTCCTCCACTCCTGGGCTTTTACCTGGGTTGGCCAAGGCCCACTGAGGCCTCTGAGAGGGTCATGTTGCCACTGGCTGGACCTCTGGGCCAGGAAGAGGGTGGGAGGGGGCTTCCAGGGCCTGAGTAGCCCCTTAGAACAACCCAGAGGGTTGGGGTGAGCAGTGCGATGGATGGCTTTTATATGGCCTTTCTTGCCATAGTCATGTAACCCTACAAAATGACTGGGTGGGACTGTAAATGAGGTGCTTGTGGCTCACCAAGGGAATTGGATAGCTTGCTAATAATGCGAATAAGAAGCATGGTACCCTTGTAGGGGTGGGACCATGCAAATAAGGTGTATGGAACACTAACAAGGGGGTTGGTCAGTTTTGCCATCCCGCTTGGCTTAAAACGAGCTATCCCAGAGGCAGACAGGGGGATCTCACTACCACCAAGAAGAAGAGACAGGAGTGGAGCATGTCATTTGGACGTGGGGTCCCTGAACTGAGAACCTCCTAGACCCAGGAGCCAGAAAGAGAGAGCTGTAACACCGGAGATGGCGCAAGACAGTGAGAAGTGGCGGCAAGTGCAGCAGAGAACCGGCAATAGCAGGACCAGGAGACCGGCAGAAGATGGAGCGGTGGGCTTCCCGGCCCCCAGAGCGAGAAAACTGACTGCCTTTGGGCTGAGGCTTACTGGCAGAGTAGGGTGGCCCTGGGCACTTATTGTTGGAGCTAAAGGGCTTTGTAAAACTTGCCTGAGCGGGGCAGAGGTCCAGGGGCCAAGGAGAAGCCTGCCTGTGGGCACAGCCAAGGGGCTGTCCTGACTGAATAACTGTATCCCGAGTCATCCCTGACCCTGAATTGTAAACTGTTATTTCTCTAATAAAACGTGAGTATGATCTGTAAGTTGTGTGTGGCCATTGCAGAGAATTATCAAACCCAGCAGAGAAGTATAGAGGGCCATCGGAGGTACCACTGGTTTCAGAATTAGTTAAAAAGGTTGGAGAGAAGAGGCATGTCTGACCTCCACCTCATAGCACTCAGCCTTGGGCTGCTGATCTTGATTCTCCTGCCTTGTGAAGTTAGAGGAGGTCAGACTTCCTGTACCGCCATGTTTACAGGGTGTGAGTGGAGCCCGGTATTGACCTGGGTGGCCCTAGCTGCTGACCACATGACTCAGCTCATGGTGGTTGGGTGTCCTGGGGGAGCAGGGCCCTGGGGCCAGCCCTGTGAACTGCTCCCCTGCTGGAGGGCCCGAGATCAAATGGTGCACAGCCAGAATGTCTAGCAGAGCTCTGCCTCCAGGGCAGACAGGCCTGGTTTCAGCCGGGACCAGAGGCCCTAGAGGCCTGGCCACATCCCACCAAGCAGTGGGAGTGGCTTTCCTGGTCTGTCGGTGGTCAAAGTGTCAAGAGATATAGCAGTAATCCATTAAAGAAAAAAAAAAAACCCAAAATTTGAAA